AGTTCTGCTCTGAACTTAGTTATCACTTGTCTTCTGCTAGCTTTTGGATTTGTTTGCTCTTGCTTCTCTAGTTATTTAAATTGTGATGTTAGGGTGTTGATTTTAGAATTTCCCACTTTCTCCTGTGGGCATTTAGTGCTATAAATTTCCCTCTAACCGCTGCATTAGCTGTGTCCCAGAGATTCTGGTATGTTGTGTCTTTGTTCTCATTGGTTTCAAATAACTTATTTATTTCTGCCTTAATACTGTTATTTACCCAGTAGTCATTCAGGAGCAGGTTTTTCAGTTTCCATGTAGTTGTGCAGTTTTGAGTGAGTTTCTTAATCGTGAGTTCTAATTTGACTGCACTGTGGTCTGAGAGACTGTTTGTTATGATTTCTGTTCTTTTGCATTTGCTGAGGAGTGTTTTACTTCCAATTATGAGGTCAATATTAGAATAAGTGTGATGTGGTGCTGAGAAGAATGTATATTCTGTTGATTTGGGGTGCAGAGTTCTGTAGATATCTATTAAGTTTGCTTGGTCCAGAGCTGAGTTCAAGTCCTGAATATGCTTGTTAATTTTCTGTCACTGACCTGTCTAATATTGACAGTGGGGTGTTAAAGTCTCCCACTATTATTGTGTGGGAGTCTAAGTCTCTTTGTAGGTCTCTGAGGACTTTGCTTTATGAATCTGGGTGCTCCCGTATTGGGTGCATATATATTTAGGATAGTTAGCTCTTCTTGCCACATTGATCTCTTTATCACTATGTAATGCCATTCTTTGTCTTTTTTTGATCTTTGCTGGTTTAAAGTCTGTTTTATCAGAGACTAGAATTGCAACCCTCTGTGTGTGTGTTTTTTTTTTTCGCTTTTCATTTGCTTGGTAAATCTTCCTCTATCCCTTTATTTTGAGCCAATGTGTGTCTTTGTACACGAGATGAGTCTCCTGAATACAGCACACTGATGGGTTTTGACTCTTTATCCAATTTGCCAGTCTGTGTCTTTCAATTGGGGCATTTAGCCCATTTACATTTAAGGTTAACATTGTTACGTGTGGGCCAGGTGTGGTGACTCATGCCGCAATCCTAGCACTTTGGGAGGCTGAGGCGGGCTGATCACCTGAGGTCAGGAGTTCGAGACCAGTGTGGCCAACATGGTGAAACTCCGTTTCTACTAACAATACAAAAATTAGCTGGGCGTGGTGGCAGGCACCTGTAATCTCAGCTACTCAGGAGGCTGAGGCAGGAGAATTGCTTGAACTCAGGAAGCGGAGGTTGCAGTGAACTGAGATTGTGCCATTGCACTTCACCCTGGGGGACAAGAGCAAGACTTTGTTTCAAAAAAAAAAAATTGTTATGTGGAATTTGATCTTGTCATTATGATGCTAGCTGGTTATTTTGCCCATCAGTTGATGCAGTTTCTTCACAGTATCAATGGTTTTTACATTTTGGTATGTTTTTGCAGTGGCTGGTACCGGTTTTTCCTTTCCATATTTAGTGCTTCCTCAGGAGCTCTTGTAAGGCAGGCCTGGTGGTGACAAAATCTCTCAGCATTTGCTTGTCTGTAAAGATTTTATTTCTCCTTTGCTTACGAAGCTTAGTTTGGCTGGATATGAAATTCTGGGTTGAAAACTCTTTTCTTTATGAATGTTGAATTTTGGTCTCCACTCTCTTCTGGTTTATAGGGTTTCTGCAGAGAGATCTGCTGTTAGTCTGATGGGCTTCCCTTTGTGGGTAACCCGACCTTTCTCTCTGGCTGCCCTTAACATTTTTTTCTTCATTTCAACCTTGGTGAATCTGATGATTACGTGTCTTGGGGTTGCTCTTGTTGAGGAGCATCTTTGTGATGTTCTCTGTATTTCCTGAATTTGAATGTTGGCCTGTCTTGCTAGGTTGGGGAAGTTCTCCTGGATAATGTCCTGAAGAGTGTTTTCCAACTTGGTTCCATTCACCCCATCACTTTCAGGTAAAACAATCAAACGTAGGTTTGGTCTTTTCACATAGTCCCATATTTCTTAGAGGTTTTGTTCATTCCTTTTCATTCTTTTTTTCCCTCTAATCTTGTCTTCAAGCTTTATTTCATTAAGTTGATCTTCAATCTCTGATACCCTTTCTTCTGCTTGATTGATTTGGCTATTGATACTTGTGTATGCTTCAGGAAATTCTTGTGCTGTGTTTTTCAGCTCCATCAGGTCACTTATGTTCTTCTCTAAACTGGTTATTCTAGTTAGCAATTCCTCTAACCTTTTTTCAAGGTTCTTAACTTCCTTCCATTGGGTTAAAATATGTTCCTTTAGCTCAGAGAAGTTTGTTATTACCCACCTTCTGAAGCCTACTTCAATGCATTCATCAAACTCATTCTCTATCCAGTTTTGTTCCCTTGCTGGCGAGGAGTTGTGATCGTTTGAAGAAGAAGAGGCATTCTGGCTTTTGGAATTTTCAGTTTTTTTGCACTGGTTGTTCCTCATCTTCATGGATTTATCTACCTTTGGTCTTTGCTGTTGGTGACCTTCAGATGGGGTTTTTGTGCGGATGTCCTTTTTGTTGATGTTGATGCTATTCCTTTCTGTTTGTTAGTTTTCCTTCTGACAGGCTCCTCTGCTGCAGGTGTGCTGGAGTTTGATGAGGTCCACTCCAGACCCTGTTTGCCTGGGTATCACCAGTGAAGGCTCAGAACAGCAAAGATTGCTGCCTGTTCCTTCCTCTAAAAGCTTTGTCCCAGAGGGACACCCGCCAGATGCTAGCCAGAGGTCTCCTGTATGAGGTGTCTTTGGCCCCTACTGGGAGGTGTCTCCCAGTCAGGAGTTACGGGGTTCAGGGACCCACTTGAAAAGGCAGTCTGTCTCTTAGCAGAACTCGAATGCTGTGCTGGCAGATCTGGTGCTCTCTTCAGAGCTGGCAGATAGGAATGTTTAAGTTTGCTGAAGCTGTGACCACAGCTGCCCCTTCCCCCAGGTTCTCTGTCCCAGGGAGATGGGAGTTTTACCTATAAGCCCCTGATTGTGGCTGCTGCCTTTCTTTCAGAGATGCCCTGTCCAGAGAGGAGGAACCTAGAGAAGGAGTCTGGCTACAGCAGTTTTGCTGAGCTATGGTGGGATCCGCCCAGTTGGACCTTCCAGGTGGCTTTGTTTACACTGTGAGGGGAAAATCGCCTACTCAAGCCTCAGTAATGGTAGGTGCCCCTCCCCCTACCAAGTTTGAGCATCCCAGGTTGACTTCAGACTGCTGTGCTGGCAGCGAGAATTTCAAGCCAATGGAGCTTAGCTTTCTGGGCTCTGTGGGGGTGGGATCCGCTGGAGCTAGACCACTTGGCTCCCTGGCTTTAGCCCCCTTTTCAGCGGAGTGAACGGTTCTGTCTCACTGGTGTTCCAGGCACCACTGGGGTATGAAAAAAAACTCCTGCAGCTAGTTCAGTGTCTGCCCAAATAGCTGCCCAGTTTTGTGCTTGAAATCCAAGGGAATCTTGGTGGTGTAGGCACCCAGGGGAATCTCCTAGTCTGTGGGTTGTGAAGACCATGAGAAAAGCATAGTGTCTGGGCCAGAATGCACTGTTCCTCACAGCACAGTCCCTCACAGCTTCCCTTGGCTAAGGGAGGGAGTTCCCCGAATCCTTGCACTTCCTGGGTGAGGTGATGTCCCACCCTGCTTCATTTTGCCCTCTGTGGGCTGCACCTATTGTCTAACCAGTCCCAATGAGGTGAGCCAGGTACCTCAGTTGGAAATGCAGAAATCACCTGCCTTCTGTGTTGATCTCGCTGGGAACTGCAGACCAGAGTTGTTCCTATTTGGCCATCTTGCCAGCCCTTTACCCCCAAATGTACTCTTCATTTCTTTTGAGACAGAATCTTGCTCTGTCACCCAGGCTGGAGTGCGAGGTGCGATCTTGGCTCACTGCAACCTCTGCCTCCCAGGTTCAAGCAATTCTCATGCCTCAGTCTTCCAAGTAGCTGGGTTTCCAGGTGCATTTCACCACACCTGGCTAATTTTTTGTATTTTTAGTAGAGACAGGGTTTCACCATGTTGGCCAGGCTGGCCTCGAACTCCTGGCCTCAAGTGATCTGCCTGCCTTGGCCTCCCAAAGTGCTGGGATTACAGGTGTGGAGCCACCACACCCAGCCTACTCTTCATTTCTTCTCCTTGTAGCTCCCACACATGTGCAAACAAGTCCCAGGATGCCAAGGGCACTCTATGGGACACTTTGGATATTAAAAGGTCCCCAGTGAAACAGTGACATCTATTGGGCACTGTGCAAACTTCTAGTTGGCAGTAGTTCACAGTTTGAACACTGTGTTCCTTTCAATAACGCCGTATCTTTGCAAAGCTGGGTGTTCAGTGGTTGCTGTGATGAAAAAGCAGGAACCATATACATATTCATGTGAACAGGAAATGAGGATAGCAGTACCCTTTTTGATTCTGAGATTTGAGGATCTATGCAGTTCCCATCGGGCATATGCATTCCATGATTAAATAATTGTGGTTACTTAACATAATAAAATATTTTTATTCCAATTTCTGTGCATATTTTTAAAAACAACTATGAAGTTGTTAATCATAAATATTATTAAAGTGTTTGGAACTAACCACTTAATAAATGGAACTGTGAGGTATTTCTTTTGGCTTAGGAGTGTCAAGGGATGGAGAAAGTTTGGGAACCTTTGCTCTGTCAAAATGGAAATGGATTTTTTTTTTTTAGGTTACGAAAGTAATATGTGCTCATTACAAAAGAATTAACCAACAAAAATTTGAGGAGAAACTCTTCCATAACCCCATCACTTATAATTAATGTTAAAATTTTCATGTATAGTCTTACATATAATTTAAAAAATCATCTGTGTCTATGTTTTAAGGCTTTTTCTTTTTACTTTCTTGTCAATGAATTTGTCAAATTTCTTTGACAAATTGTAACCTTCTTTTGGCAGAATTGAGAGCAAAAAATTCCTTTCATCCACTTCAAAATCCCTTACAGAAATAAGTAAATGCAGTCATAGAAGTTGAATAGGTCATTGAGCCAAGGTGACTTACCGCAAAGAACTCTAAAGGAATAGGCGCCGGCAATTTCTCTTTAAATCTCTCATTAAACTCCTTGCCACCCAACAGCAAACCAAAAACCATCAGCCCGACGCCTAGGGAACACACGTTGAGGTTTTTAACATTCTGCAACACAGCAACTGTACTCTGTAACACAGTGAACGCTGGATGTTTACATCAAGAAATTGCCCCTGGGAGAGACAGAGACTGTCTAGTGCACTAATTCACATCAACCATTCCACTGGGTATTTCTAGTTAAAAGTTCTCAGGCTGAAATCTCTCTTTGTAGCTTCCACCAATTAGGAGGTATTTTTACCCAGTCTACAACTTTACAGTTGTTACTCTTTTTTTTTAAATAGTTGTTATTCTTTTTTTTTTTTGGAGACACAGTCTTGCTCTGCTGCCCAGGTTGGAGTGCAGTGGCATGATTTTGGCTCACTGCAACCTCTGCCTCCCAAGTTCAAGCGATTCTCCTGCCTCAGCCTCCTGAGTAGCTGGGATTATCAGCGCCTGCTGCCATGCCCAGTTAATTTTTGTATTTTTAGTAGACATGGGGTTTCAACATGTTGGTCAGGCTGGTCTCGAACTCCTGACCTCAAGTCATCTGCCTGCCTCGGCCTCCCAAAGTGCTGGGATTACAGGTGTGAGCCACTGCACCCAGCCTTATAGTTATTCCAATCAAACAGTTATTCTTATCATATGCTGATGTCTCCATGTAATATTATAAAATTCAGAAAAGGAACCCTGAAGCTGAGTCCTGAGCACTTGGAAAGAATTAAGGGTTGATGGCAAAGTACTCCAAAGGTAAATACATAGAAAAGCTTTTAGGAGCTCAAAGGAGGAGAAAGTATTGTTAGCAGGACTTTGAAGTCAAGAGTGCTGATGTCTGGGAAAGGAACCTAGGAGAACTAAAGAAGAAATCCACTTAATTATATCCCAGGGTTACCAACTGGGCACCTCAAATATAGTCAATTCTCATTTGAAACCCAATAAAGTAGACTTCCTGCTCAGCCCAGGCCATGCACCCTTTCCTATCGATGCCTAGAGTACTCAGTATGTTTATTTCCTTTGTGAAAAGGCATTTCGAGAAGTCTCAGAGTAAGAAGTACGGTAACAGCTATTATGGGAGACTAAGAATTTTGTTATTTAGAGAATATTCCTAAAGTCTGATTCCATTTTAACCAGTCAATGACTCAATCTAAATGTCACTTCCTCAAAGTGCCTTTCCTAGACCCCTAATCTCAAGGTCTCCCTATTTAACTTTCAGAGCAGCTGGTACTTCTCCTTCATAGCACGCAACACAAATTGTAATCGATTACACATGTATGTAATTAAAGGTTTACTATCTTCCCACTGGACTGAAAGTTCCAGAGGGAAAGGCCTGTATCGTCTCAGCTCACAGCTGCATCTTGGCACCCAGTGCCTAGCACATAAATACCTACAAAGACTGCAGGCCTCTTTCCAAGGACAGCTTTAACAGCATCTCAGAGGTTTTGATATGTAGTACTTCTATCAATTAATTCTAATTATTTCCTAATTCCCTCTTTATTCACGGGTCATTTAGAAATGTTTTTTGGTTTCTAAATATGTGGGAGTTTTAAAGCTATGTTTAGCTTTTGATTTTTAATTATATTGCACTGTGTGAAAAAACATTGAATTTTTAGAATTGCTGATCAGTTTCACATGATCAATTTCAACATGATCGGTTAGTACCATTGTTCCTTAAGTGCTTGCAAATAATTTATATTTTCTCTGAGTTTGGTAAGGGGTCTATGTAACTAAAAGATTTATGTTAGTTAAATCTTTTACAGCCTTATTTTTTTTGCTGGTTTGAATTAGGAGTTGGTTTTTTTTTGAGACGGAGTCTCACTCTGTCGCCCAGGCTGGAGTGCAGTGGCACGATCTCAGCTCACTACAAGCTCCGCCTCCTAGGTTCATGCCATTCTTCTGCCTCAGCCTCCTGAGTAGCTGGGACCACAGGCGCCTGCCATAACACCAGCTAATTTTTTTGTATTTTTAGTAGTGATGGGGTTTCACCATGTTAGCCAGGATGGTCTCGATCTCCTGACCTCGTGATCTGCCCGTCTCGGCCTCCCAAAGTGCTGGGATTACAGGCGTGAGCCACGCACCCAGCCTGAATTAGCAGTTTTTGAGAGAGAGAGATGTTCTCCCCTCATGCCTTTAAATTATTTGTTAGTTTCCAAAAAGACCACGATTTGGTTGTAAGAAAAAGCTCTCTCTTCACCTAATTAGAGTGATGATGCAGTCACCAAATAAAGACCTAGCGAGAAATTCCTTGTGAACTGGGCAGTATCACATATTAATAATAGAGAATTTAAGGTTTAGTCCTCTTTGTAACACTCTTTTCAGAAAACCTTAGAATAAATGAATTTTTCCTTTTTTATGGAAATTACTAGAGTAAAAGAAAAATGAGTCTTGAAAGTAAAAAGAGATACAGAAGAGAAGTGGGGGAAATAAAGGAAAAAAAAAGTACCAGAACGTCAGGGAGTTGCTTACTTACATACACCACTGAAAAGATTCCACTGTACCGCTTTGTTTTAACTCCAAACAGATATTTTAACATGGAGGTGAAGACATGCACAGCTGCTGCAGTGGTAAACCCACGGACCAGAGGCTCTGTGAGATATATGGCCACAAATCCAAACCTACAGACACCTAGGCAAAACTATTTTTTTTTAATGACAAAGAAACAAATGAATCACATGATAGGTCAGGAAGTTAAGACCCACAGCAAATATACCAGTTCTTTCTTGACCATTTTCCTTTTTTTTTTTTTTTTTTGAGTGGAGTCTTGCTCTGTTGGCGGGCTGGACTGCAGTGGCCGGATCTCAGCTCACTGCAAGCTCGCCTCCCGGAGGTTTCGCCATTCTCCTCCTCAGCCTCCAGTAAAAGACGGAGTCTTGCTCTGTAGCCCGGGCTGGACTGCAGTGGCCGGATCTCAGCTCACTGCAAGCTCCGCCTCCCGGGTTTACGCCATTCTCCTGCCTCAGCCTCCCGAGTAGCTGGGACTACAGGCGCCCGCCACCACGCCTGGCTAGTTTTTTGTATTTTTTAGTAGAGATGGGGTTTCACTGTGTTAGCCAGGATGGTCTTGATCTCCTGACCTCGTGATCCGCCCATCTCGGCCTCCCAAAGTGCTGGGATTACAGGCTTGAGCCACCGCGCCCGGCTTTTTTTTTTTTTTGAGATGGAGTCTCGCTGTTTCACCCAGGCAGTGTCACGGTCTTGGCTCACTGCAACCTTCGCCTCCCAGGTTCAAGTGATTCTCCTGCCTCAGGCTCCTGAGTAGCTGGGACTTCAGGTGCATGCCACCACGCCCAGCTAATTTTTGTATTTTTAGTAGAGACGGGGTTTCACTATGTTGGCCAGGCTGGTCTTGAACTCCTGACCTTGTGATCCACCTGCCTCAGCCTCCCAAAGTGCTGGGATTAAAGGTGTGAGCCACTGCGCCCAGCCTCTGGACCATTTTCTAACACTGCAAACTTGTACATGAAGTGGGTAAGTAGCTAACAAATCAATCACTGGTTATACAGAAAACAGAGGAAAGTCTGGAGTGCCTTGGTGTCCCACAGTGCACTGGCCACACTAATGCCTTCCCTGTCTCTCATGGAGCTGGGGGCATGCTTCATCATGTAGACTAAAGTGCGTGATCATGATCATTGGCTGTTCCCACCAAGCAGAGAGGAATATCCTCTCCCAGCACTAATCAATCCTGCTGTGTCAAACTTGTCTTGCTTTTGGGATCTTTAAAGCATCCACCTGAAGCTTGCTTGCTGGTCACTCATAGTTGTGAATAAGGCATGCAGTTGGTCTGCAGTTACTTCTGGAGCTTTGGGGTTTCTCTGGCAGACCCCACCCACCGTGTAGGAAGACCAGCTAAGAGCTCTCAGTAGATACCTGTTAGGTTAACAAATGAGACAGTCCATTTCCCCATCTTTGAGCCTTACCTGAATGATTCCTGAAAGTAAGGTCACAGACATGGCGACTTTCACTCTCAAGGCATCTCTGGCCTCTGTGCCATTGGTTGCATTTACTCCTCCTGGAATGACTATATCATCTGGTACTAATCGAACAGCCACACCACCAATCATCAGGCTAATAACAGCAAAAGGACCTGAAATAATGAAGCATGAAGATCCCTGTTCAGGGTTCAAGGACACTAACTAATTCAGAGTATCTGATAGGGTTTTTGCCAGTACACCAAGAGACAAAGTTGAGGTCAAGAAGTCATGCTTGAAAGAAGGCTACGCTCCCTTCTTTAGTGTCCCGCCTCTGGTGTGTGAGCAACTGTGTGTGTGTGCATGCGCATGTGTGTGCATGCAGACTGTATTTTCCAAAAGTAGACATAGCAATATCTTCCATTCACCTACTCTTCTTGATATTTCCCCATCAAGAGGTGGAGTCTAATTTCTCCTTGAATCTGGGTTGGCTTTGACTTGTTAGTAAACAAAAGAATGCAGCAGAAGGGAAGCTGCGTGACTTCCGAGGCTTGGTAATAAAAGGGCTGCAACTTCCACCTTCTCCTGAAGCCCTGAGTCACCACGTGTAAGAAAGCTCCAACTAGGCCAAGTGGAGAATTCCTGGGACTGCATGGAGAAAGGAAGGCAGGGAAGAGGGAAGGGAGGGAGGAAAAAGGGAGAGAGGAAGAATTACCCAGACCAGTCCTTCCCAAGTCCTGACCTGCAGGCACTATGGAAGATACAAACATGATTGTTGTTGTAAAGCTGCTACATTTTGAGGGTATTTGTTACCAAACAGTAGATATCTGGAAAGTGTGTGTGTGCTAGGCGGTAGCCTTAGGTAGTACCAGGACTATTATGAAATCCATATGCCTCTGATAAACTGAAAATATGTACAATTCAGAGCCCCAAATACGATAAAAATGAAATACGTGAAGAGTGATTAGGAACTTGAAATACTACCATTAGTATAAAAATAAAAACCAGATGCTGGCAAATTACATCATGAAATGAAGCATTTATCTCATTTCACAGATTTCAACAATTGTCCTTTTACATCAGAAAATTGTCTTTTTTATTATTCCAAGATTATAAGAAAGTTGTAAGTTCTAGAAATCTTGGGAGGCGTGTAGTTTTTTTTTTTTTTTGACACGGAGTCTTGTTCTGTTGCCCAGGCTGGAGTGCAGTGGTGCGATCTCAGCTCACTGCAACCTCCGCCTCCCAGGTTGAAGTGATTCTCCTTCCTCAGCCTCCTGCGTAGCTGGGATTACAGGTGCCCATCACCAAGCCTGGCTAATTTTTGTATTTTTACAAAGAGATGGGGTTTCACCATGTTGGTCTGGCTGGTCTCAAACTTCTGACCTCAGGCAATCTGCCCGCCTCGGCCTCCCAGAGTGCAGGGATTACAGGGGTGAGCCACCACGCCTGGCCGAGTGTAGGTTTTTAATGCATCTGTTGTGTATGCAGTAACAGAAGTTGTTATTAAGACAATTTTTAATAACGACCATACTATTTCTTTGGCACATTGCAAAGGCTGGAAATACACAAGGGAAGGTAGTAGAATATCAAGTATAAGCTTTTACCTATTGATATGTGTCTGGAGGTTCCCAAAAAACAATACATGATAACAGGATAAAATGAAGAGTACAGGCCAAATATCGGAGGCACAGCTGCCAGCATTGCAAAGGCTAAGCCTGTGGGATTAAAAACCAAACAGAAATGGGAGATCATTAGAAGACAGAGGGGTTACATGTGTTTTTCTCTTGGTTCTTTATTTCTGATGAATGAGTGAAGCCCATCTGAATTTAAGCTGCAACCTACCCTACCCCAATCCTGCACATCATCTTACCTTGGTGCTGATAGAGTCCAGGTTGAGACAGTTTCCATTATCATCTCCTTTTTGCCAGTGGGTGATTTTTTTTTTCTGCTTTATTCTTTCACAAATTAGATAAAAGCAGAAAAAAGTCTTATCTTAGTGGGTGCCATTGTAATTTGGTGTTGACGCACAAATGCGAGCTCTTTCTCCAATGGAGTGATTTTATGGGTTCTCTGGAGACCCCTTTGCAATAAAGGACTCCCAGTTACTATGCCCTAACTATGTAATGCTCCTTCCTCCTGACTCTTAGATATCCTCCCTCCAACTCTTATCAGAAGGTACGGCTTTCCAGGTAATTTCGGCTGGCGTATGCTCATCCTGTAGGCAGTCTTCTTGGGCAGGTACCTATCAAATGAGCCAAGCCTCGTTACCTTCCAGGATGCCCAGTTATCCAATGGGAAAGCTTGGCATTTAACTCCCAAGAAACTCTGGAAGTGCAGGTCACACCCTCTGGAGGACTCTTTCCCTCACTCTGCTGTCCTAGGCAGTTCACATCATCCTTGACACATTTTTTTTTTTAAATAGACTTTTTAGAGCAGTTTAGGTTCACAGCAAATTGAGCAAAAGATACAGAGGTTTTCCATATATCCCCTGCCCTTATGTATGCACAGCCTCCCCCACTACCAACATCCCCCTCCAGAGTGGCACATCTGTTACGAGTGATGAACCCACACTGACCTATCATTATCACCCAAAGTCCACAGTTTACATTAGGTTTACTCTTGGTGTGGTACAGTCTATGCCAATGTACAATGACAGGTAGCCACCATGATAGTCTGATATAAAGTAGTTTCACTGGTGAGAAATTCTCTGTGGCCTATTCATCCTTCCCTCCCCCCAACCCCTGGAAACTAGTGATCTTTTTACTGTCTTTTTAAAGACAGTCTTGCTCTGTCGCCCAGGCTGGTGTGTGGGGGCATGTTCACGGCTCACTGCAGCCACAACCTCCCAGCCTCAAGCAATCCTCCCACCTCAGCCTCCCTAGTAGTTGAGACTACAGGTGTGCACCATCACACCTGGCTAATTTCTGTAGAGACAGAGTTTCCCCATGTTTTCCAGGCTGGCCTTGAACTCCTAGGCTCAGGCAATGTGCCCACCTCAGCCTCCCAAAGTGCTGGGATTACAGGCATGAGTCACTGTGCCTGGTCAGTTTGGCCTTCTTTAGAATGTCGTTCAATTGGGATCATACAGTATTAAGCTACATCAGGTTGACTTCTTTCACGAAGTAATATGCATTTAAGGTTCCTTTATGTCTTTTCATGGCTTGATAGCTCATTCCTTTTTAACACTGAATATTTCATTGTCTGGATGTACCACAGTTTACCCATTCATCTACTGAAGGCCATCTTGGTTGCTTCCAAGGTTTGGCAATTATGAATAAAGCTGCTATAAACATCCACGTGCAGGTTCACTTGAAAGTTTTTTAAAAACTTTATTTTTTAGAGCAGCTGGACTTTTTCATGCAAGAATTAGGCAGCAGTCTCCACAAACTCCAGGGGGTGCTGCTCAGCACTCTGAGTAGCTTTCTTGCAGTCCTTCCTTACTTGACTGCAGGTGGAAGGGAAATGGATAGGGTTTTAACCTCTCCCTGGAAAATTCTCATTCCAAGTCAGTCTTCTCGTTCCCTCATATATTCTGTTAAAAGTGACACACTCAAGAGAGCCTGGGTCATTCATTCATAGTTCGGGATAGATTGACTGGCATCCTTCTTCCAAATGTATAGGCAATAAGCACTCTTTGTTCTCAGCTTTGGGGGTTCAGCCAAATTTCTGGGACAACTAAAAAACTCATTTAATGCACTGTTACGCTGTGGAGGAGACAGCTTTAGCAAAACAAGAGTTGGGAAAGCATCCTAACTTCATGTGTAATAACACGGCCACTCGAATGTTGTTAAAAAAATTTATTTCTAGCAAAGAAATGCATGCATATGATTTAAAAAGCCAAGCAGCAAAAGCTCTCTGGAAAAGCCAGCTCTTTTCTTTTTACCCCTCTTCCTCCAGGTTTTGCTCCTCAGAGCCAATGACTTCCAACTCGTGTAGCTGTTTTTCTCTATTTACCTCCATTTTCCTTAATCAGCATTCTCAAAGGAAAGCGCTCCCCCACCCCCACTTCCGGCAGGAGACATTTGGGGATGTCTGGAGACATTTTTGATTATGATGATGGGGGATAGGGTGGGAGTATTACTGGCATCTAGTGGGTAAAGGCCAGGGGTACTGCTAAACACCCTACACTGCACAAGACAGGCCCCCAAAAACAAACAGGGTAAATGGCATGAGGTTGAGAAACACTGTTCTAAATATGTTTGTATCATGATTTTTCAATTTATCCATTTTAGATGCAAACTTAATTTTCCATTATGTTTACTTTTTCAGCTTTTCATTATGTGACTTTTTTTCTTTCTAGTTTGAGATCCTCTATTGATTCCTGGTATTCTATATTTTACTATGGTGTGCTTTGTTTTATTTTTCATTTATTCTGCTGGGTATTTTATGATTCCTCTCAGTCTGAAAACACATGTATTTCAGCCCTGGGGATCACTCTTTGATCATTTCTTCCTTCTGTTTACTCTCTTCTTTCTTTCTGGAAGTCCTATTAGATGTATGATGGGACATCAGGCTTGATCCTCTGGTCTTCTTATGTTTTCTCTTACTGTCTTTTTCTTCTACTTCCAGGAGATTTCCTCTGCTGTCTTCCAACCCTGACTAAATATTTATTCCAGCTATCACATTTTTAATTTCTATGAGCTCTTTCTTGTTCTCTGAATACTCTTTTCAAAATAGCATCCTGTTTTTGTTTCAGAGACTCAATGTGTTTTTGTTAGGATACTATAAAGTTTTTTATTTTGCCCTGTTCTGTTCCTTATGAATTCTTTTTTGAATGATTTGGTCTCTTTCTTGAAGCTTCATGTGTATTGGCTCTCTGTTTACTGATGGGCCTTATTGTGGGACAACTGGGTGGCCAGCCAGCATCTTTACTGGGGGACCTCCATTTGTCACTATGGGTCTTTTATAGGTCACCATCTGCTTTGGGCTATAAGATTTTTTGCAGGCACTTTGAAGCAAACAAAGTAGAGCAAGGGAACAGCCTTTGTTGACTCACAGTTCAGTGTGCAGACTTTTAGTTAACTTTCCTGACATCTCTTGGTATTTTTATCCTACCATCCATTGCATCATGTAGGTGTGGGGACCTGAGTGTACTGATGTTACTGATTGCAAAGATTTTGAACCAGTTCCCTTGCTTTTAGCCTTCTGCCTGACTTACAGCTTTCACAATACTTGGAGCCTCCGATTTCCCAGTGTTTTGTAGTGTACATACCTACATCTAAGCTTCTCTACTCTAATGATTCAGCTGCCACTTGTCCATCTGCTTGCTATATATACATTTCTCCTATTCCACTGGGTCTCCTCTCTCATGTTCTTCCTCCTTCCTAGTTTATACCATTTCCCCTTTCATGGTCATTTTAGAGGAATTTTTAAGACAATTAGAGACAAGAGCATACTTTCACTCTGACATGCTTAACACAAAATTTTTTTGGTAATTTAAATTATTTATCAATCACAAGAAATGTATTTACTTCCTTTTAGATCTCTATCTTTGCTATATTGTTTTTCATACTTATCTATCTTCATTAATAATGAGCAGAAAAATACCTTTCCAATGCAAATTTGATTGTGGGATGATCTGTGTCTCTCAGCAGTGTTCCACCTACTGAGTCATTCCCTGATTTGAAATAATTTCTTCCTTTCTGTAATAATATACACTCCTAGTTTTCCTTTCCAGATACTTTTCTATTTCTTCTGCTGTTTCCTCCTTCTGTATTTGGTCTTTAATGTTGGACAGAGCTTGATCTTAGCTCCCTTCTCTTTTCACTCCACATTCTCTCCCTAGGTGCTGCGGTCTATTGCCATGGTTTAAATGCTTTCTATAGGTCAAAGATTCCACAGTTGATACCTCTAGCCCCTACATCTCTTTTGGGCTCATCATATATTAAATACAAACATGAAATATCTACTTGTCTATCTCACAAGCATCTCAAATTTAACATAATCAGACTTATTCTTCAATCCTATTCCTGTCATCTTTTTTATTATTTTTTATGTTTTGAGATAGAATTTTGCCCTTGACACCCAGGCTGGAGTGCACTGGCACGATCTCAGCTCACTGCAACCTCCGTCTCCCAGGTTCAAGCGATTCTCCTGCCTCAGCCTCCCAAGTAGCTGGGACTACAGGTGTGTGCCACTATGCCTGACTTATTTTGTATTTTTAGTAGAGATGGGGTTTCACTATGTTGGTCAGTCTTGAACCCCTGACCTCAGGTTATCCACCCACCTAGGCCTCCCAGTGTTGGGATTACAGGCATGAGCCACCATACCCAGTCCTGTCATCTTTATTATGTCTGCAATTGACACCTCCATCCCTCAGGCGTTTGAAACCACAACCTGGAAGTCATTCTTGACCATCCCTCTTCTTCACCATCCCCACACATCCAACCCATAAGCCCAGTTGTCTTAAAGTTATTGTTGACACGTCCTCCTCCTTCTTTGTAAGTTAATCCAACAGCCAGTTTTGCTGATCTCATCTACAAAATATATGTCTTTCTAATTCTTTCCATTCTTACAGCCACCATTCTAGTTCAAGATGGAAGAAGGTCAGCTGGTTGAAGATAAGTTTGCAGAATGACGGTGAAAATTCAACTAGGCAGAATCCCGAGGAGTTCTTCGAGTGTGAGCTTGCGTGGTTGCCGGCAGACATTCCTGCAGCTCCGTCAGTCCAGCTTGACTGAATGTCAGTTTGACTTCTGCTTCCTGTTTTGGATACCGAGCCCTTATCTGCTTCTCACCCTGCCCTTGCCTCTGCCTTTGAATCTGTCCCTTTATCTATTCTTGGGGTGATGGCACCAAAATGATTGTGGGAATCTGTCCCAAATCTGCAAGATTTTGTATAATAGATTTAATAAATATGGTAAATCAGTCACTTGGAAAATTAAAAACAAAGCCAATTGCTCATTAGGGGAAGTGATTTTTTTTTTGACAATTTTTTGGAAACTGGCTACAAGGGAATTGATTTTTGGCCAGCTGACCTAGAGGTGTTCAAGCCATTATCACCTTTGCCTTCCATGAGCTGCTGTCACCTCTACCTGGTCTCCTCACATCCATTCTGGTGCCCCTCCCACTACCCAAATCCATTCCCCCCCACGGCAGTCTTCAGTGACCTCTTACAGAGCGATATAGTTTGGCCGTGTCCCTACCCAAATCTCTTCTTGAATTGTAGCTCCCATAATTCCCATGTGTTGTGAGAGGGACCCAGTGGGAGGTAACTGAATCATGGGGGTGGGCCTTTCCCATGCCGTTCTCATGATAGTAAGTCTCACGAGACCTGATGATTTTATAAAGGGCAGTTCCCTACACAAGCTCTCTCTTGCCTGCCACCATGTAAGATGTGACTTTGCTCATTTGCCCTCTGCCACGATTGTGAGGCTTCCCCAGCCACATGGAACTGTGAGTTCATTAAACCTCTTTTTCTTTATAAATTGCCAAGTCTCAGGTATGTTTTTATTAGCAGTGTGAGAAGACTTACGCACACAGAAAACCTAAATAAAAAGTAATGCTGATAGCTTTTCACTGCACTCAGAATGAAACCCAAAAATGGCCTAAGAATACTCTGCAGGCCTGCCTGTGCCCACCTCACCTGCCACTACCCCCTGCTCCCTCACATTCCTAGAACAATGCTTTTCCATTCATTCTTTGTCCCACACCCAATTCTTTTCCTGCTCAGTGCCTTCACACATGCTATTCCTTCTGCCTGAAATGCATTTTCTCTTATTCTTGACCTGAGTCAGGTCTCAGCTCAAACCTCATTTCCTGGATCCACTATTCTTTTTTTTTTTTTTCCAATGGAGTCTTGCTCTGTTGTGCAGGCTGGAGTACAGTAGCACGATCTCAGCTTACTGCAACCTCTACCTCCCAGGTTCAAGCAATTCTCCTGCCTCAGCCTCCTGAGTAGCTGAGACTATAGGCACATGTCACCATGCGCAGCTAATTTTTATATTTTTAGTATAGATGGGGTTTCACCATGTTGGCCAGACTGATCTTGAACTCCTTACCTCAGGTGATCCACCCACCTCAGCCTTCCAAAGTGCTGGGATTACAGGCGTGAGCCACCACAGCCAGTCCTAGATCCACTATGTTTATTTCACAATACCTTATCTTTTCCTTCATTGTGCTTATCATTGTAATTAAAATTTTTCAATGTGCTTTTTTCTGCTTAGCATCTCATGCCTTGATTGGATGGTTAGTGAGCTCCATGAGGACAGTGAGCCAGGTAGGTGCCTAATAAACATGTACTATTTAGAATACATGAATAAATTAATGAATAAGTTAATGAATATTTTCTTAAGTTCTTATATGACATATAAAATCACAGAGTTGCTGCAATATACTACAGGAATTTAGCATATCATGGTCCCTTGTAATTAGAATATGGACTCAGAAGCCACAAACCTTCACAACAACCACAACAACAAAATGTTTCTTGAGTGACTGACTTAGCAAGTGGCAAGATAATGCCCAACCAATGTACTGATCTGCAAAACAGTCTCACCATTTTCTACTATTAATATCTCTGGAGCTTTTTTTTGGAGACAGGGTCTCAGTCTCCCAGGCTGGAGTGAAGTAGTATGATCAGAGCTCCTCACAGCCTTGAACTTCAGGGCTCAAATGATCTTCCTATGTCAGCCTCTCAAGTAGCTGAGACTACAGGCATGCCCAGCTGTGTTTTTTGTTTTTGTTTGTTTTTTCAAAGGTAGAGACAGTGTCTCACTTTGTTGCCCAGGCTGGTCTCCAACTCCCAGTCTCAAGTGATCCTCCCACCTTGGCCTTCCAAAGTGCTGAGATTACAGGTTTAAGGATTACCTGTTTCTGAAGAGAACCTTTAGACAGGTAAAGGTTACTAGAAAGATATGATAAAAATTATGAATTTGTAATCATGATGAAATAAACAGAAGGTCAAGCATTTGTTTGAGGACAGCAAGGGGGGAAAGAAAGATCTACTAACCTTGAGGAAGCTGAAGCACCCCTGTGCTTATGCCTGAGACCAAGTCACCCAACACATATTCCTTGAATTTGTATGCTGGCAGCCATTTAGTTATGGGTAGGAACATATAAATGATATTTCTTATTTTTTTAGGAGTACATCTGAAAGGACAATGACAGAGATAAAGTTATAAATGAGAAACATCTCTGTAGAATTCAAACCAAAGCATTTTCCATTCCTTATTCCCAGGAGCAATCTGGAAAAATTTCCAATTGGTGATTCAGGATGTTGCCAGACAGGGTAGGAGTCAGGGGTGGGGAAAAAAAGAGAGTGGCTGGAATATTCCTGGGACACAAAAGGTATTTTGAAGGTGGGTGGAGAATTAGAAAGTGTGCTGGTTATGTTAACATTTATACAGACAAAAGGCGTAGTAGGAATTCAATAAATATAGTGAAATTCATGATGAAGCCTGTGTACAGATATCTAACACTGACTGAACCTCGTGAACAGCTTTGCAAACCATGATGGCTTAGCATTCATTTTTTTCTCCACTTCACCAAACAGATTTTCTTTACACATTTGACCTTGCGCCTCTCATAACCAAATGATACAATAACAGAAACAGGTTAAAATGCAACATACGTGAATGCCTGTTTCAGCTTATCCGCAATGGAATCTGGAACCTTGTCCTTAGTGTGTAGTCTTTCCTGGAGGACCGGATGACTAAAGATAGGCCTTTCCACATAGTACCTCTGGGTTGCTGCAAGGATTTCATTTTCTTCAGCATGATCCATAGTACTCTGAAATCATTCATTAATAGCAGGAGACAAGCATTTCCTGAGTGTTACTAGGGGAAAAAAGAAAAAATCCATTTTACATGCCAAAATCCTACTGATGACTTTTCCTAAGCATCTCTTCTTTGTGGTGTTCCAAGCTCTTCTGAGGCTTTCTTTAGACACCCAGAGGACCTAATGGATTGATCTGTATATAGGAGGCAGTAATTAATGAAATCAAAATCAATTAAAAAAATAAACGTGACTTATTCCCTCCCAGGGCAATAAATGGTTAATGTGTGTACTTTTAACAAAAGCTCATATTAAGTGCAATGGCTAAATACTACAGTCAGTTGCCTCTAGGTCCATATAAGAGGAATTGCAAATCAGGTCAATTTTGACCAGCTATATGTCAAGGAAACAGAAAAAAAAGTGTACGATCAGTCCTTAAATTGACTCAATGTTTCTTAAAGTTATATTAGCTTCCCTTCCAATTCTATATTTACAGTTGATTACTCTTTAAATTATTCTATGGTTCAGGACTGAGGCTTATATGTCTGTTTGAGGGAAGTTGCTGGTGACCTTTGTGAAAGGCAATAAGTTAAAACATCAGCACACTATTCTAATATTGTTTTGAAGTTGATTACATTGTCATGTTTTTGATTATTAGAATGACTGATAGTTTTTTCATTGCTACATAGTGATACTACTTATATGAGTAAAAGAAATGATTAAAGAATAAAAATACAACATATTTGTGCATATGGAGATGTGTACAAGAATGTTTTCTGCAGCCTTATAACAGTGAAACATTGGAAAAAACTAAATGTCTACTTATATGCAGTAAAAAATACATTTTGGTATATTCATAAATTTAATTCTATATAGTAATTAAAAGAAACACACTACATCTATATGTGTCATCAACAAATCTCAGAGACAATTTTCAACAAAAATGTAAGGCACAGATGAATACTGAGAGGATTCAATTATTTAAAGTTTAAAAACATAAAATAATAGTATATGTTATTACATATATTTGTAGTAAAAGTATAAAACTACTCTTGACAACAATAAACACTGAGATCAGGTTGGTGTTACCTCTAAAGAGAGGGAAATGAGACTAAGAAGGGATAGTAGAGGGCTTCTACTAACTGTACCTGCAATGTTTTAGTTTGTAAAAAAGAACTGGCACAAAGACAGCAAAATATGAAGATTTTATTATGCTGTTTAGTAAGTAAACTGGTGCTTGTTACATGATTGTTTGTACTTGTCTGTACATTCGAACTACATACCTCATAATAAAATATTAAAAGCACAACTAAAGCCAGTGTTCCCAACTGAAGGAAGTTAATGGCAGAGCAGGCAGAGGTTAACGTGAATGCATGGTTAAGTGCTTGTGTGGTGACTGTGGAATTGTGAGGGCTATTAATGTTGGTCAATACAACTCCTTCACAGTGAAAACTCAGGTTTTCATCAAAATAAAATCACATTCAAATTTAAATCAAGGCTGGGCATAGTAGCTCACACCTGTAATCCCAGCACTTTGGGAGGCCGAGGTGGGTGGATCACCTGAGGTCAGGAGTTCAAGACCAGCCTGGCCAACATGGAGAAAACCTGCCTCTACTGAAAAGAAAAAAAAAAAAAAAATTAGCTGAGAGTGGTGGTGCGTGCCTGTAATCCCAGATACCTGAGAGGCCGAGACAGGAAAATCACTTGAACCTGGGAGGCAGAGGTTGCAATGAGCTGAGATTGCACCATTGCACTCTAGCCTGGGTGATGAGAGTGAAACTCCATCTCAAACAAAACAAAACAAATTGAAATCAGGGTTGTGTATGATCTACCACAAAATATTATGCAAAATAAATACCTATGTTGAAAGAGGTTGAAAATTCAAGAGCCTATAAAAAAAAAAAGAAATTATGGCAGCAAATGCAACCAAGTACCATTAAGGGTGATATTAAAATGTTACGGTTTGACTGTTTTTGTCTCTTTCAAATTCAAGTTGAAACTTAACCCCCAATACAACAGTATTATGAGGTGTGGTCCTTAGGAACTGATTGATTATGTGGGCTCCAGAACCCTCACGAATGGGATTAAGTTATAAAAAGACTTAGCAGAGGGAGTTCACCCCCTTTCATCCCTTCTGTCCCTTCTGCCATATGAGGATACAGCGTTCCTCCTCTCCAGAGGATGATGCAATAAGACAACATCTTGGAAGCAGAGACACCTGGCCCTTACCAGCTGGTGCCTTGTTCCTGGACTTCCCAGACTCCAGAACTGTGAGAAATAAATTTCTATTGTTTCGAAATTTCTGTCTGTAGCATTCTGTTATAGCAGCTCATATGAACTAAGAAATGGTAAATCTGGAGAAAGAGAATATTGCAGAACCCGAGAAATAAAGATTATACGTTTTTTTGTTTCAGACTAGCAAGGTGGGTTGGCCACCTCTCATCCAGCTCTTTAGGGCCACTCTAGGAACTCATCAAAATACAAGAATGACTGGGATGATGTATGAGTGGAGTCTGACACATCACAAACCCTACCACTGGCTTCCACCTGCCCTAACTCCTCCAGATCATTACATGACATCATTATAAAATCATTTGTCATCCAGGCAGCATACCATGCTGCTTTACGCCTCTGTGCCCATCTAGAGTTTCAATTCATTCTAATAAGAGATGTTGTTTCTTTCCCTTCACTCCTTCCATTTTCCCCACAGCCTAATCATTCTATCTTCCAAACCCTTGTTCTGTCTTCTGCTTCTCTGTGAAGTCTCCCCTCACTTACAATCCTTTATGAAATGGGCCTATGCATGTTACTTTGTATACTCTTCCATTCTTCTATTCTAATAGAATCATTAATCTACTCTTCTAGACTGTAAATTCCTTGAGACAATATCATACTCTGAATTCCCAGGACCTATCTCAGCACTTGTATCCTAGCAGGTGCTAAGTAACTGGGGGGTGAATGAAATCTTTGAATGGGTATGTTATGATTATTGATAATGCATGCCATGCTTCCTGTCTAATCTTTCATCTTATAGATTATGTCTGCTTTAAACTTTTATTATTATTCTTTGTAGGCATCATCTTCTTAGTCTTCTTTTGTCCTAGTTCAGAAAGGTAATTTCTTCCTTCATGTGGCCACTCGAAGAGAAAAGGAACAGGTAGACCTGAGGAAGGTTTAATAAGAATCAGACTCTGGTTTTTCTCCTGCTGCAGAAACTCAGTTTTACCATTGATTTTCCTGTTACCCCACAGGAGTTTGCTCAGCTGTCGATTGGCTGAATTATGATGATCATGTCTAGGGATGTTTTATCACCTACAAGGCAGTGGTGACCAAATGTGGCCAATCATCACAGTGGTCTGGGGAGGGCTTGAATTACTGGGTTCAGGGCCTTACCCTGAACCTACACAGTTAGGATTTCCATTGGGTGAGGCCCAAACAATTACACACGTGTGGGTGTAAGCATGTGTCCCTTACCCATCCATGTATGTGGCAACCTTTTCTGGAGATTTCAGGGCAACAGAATGGTTTAACTGAAGCATAGCAAACACTTAAAATAGGAGGCATCTCTATCTTTAGTCTTGAGAGTGTTTTGGCTATCCCCAACATCAGGAATTCCTCATGATACCCGTGAATCTGAGAGTATAAAGACAAGAGGGTGGTCACTTACCACTCCCTTATTTCTCCTTCTCCCAGAACCTCAAAATTTCTTCTATTTCACTAAGCAGAGCAATTATATTTATGTATTAAAAGTTCCCCAGGACATGCAGTTGATCAGCTAGATAGGTACTTGACATATTGAAAACACTGACTTTCAACTCTGGCTAAACCCAGAACTTCCTCAGGTACTTTTACAAAACACTAATGCTTAGGCTCCATACCCGACCAATTATAGCATGGCCTCCAGGAGGCAGGCTTGGGCATTTCTTTATAGCATCCTACGATGGTTCTAATAAGCAGTTCAAGTTGAGAACCACTGGCTTAGAATCTGAGAGAGAGAAATACATATGAAAAATACGTAAGAAAAATCACAAAGAAATATTTGAAAATGAAAGCCAATTATAGATGTTGAAGAAACTAATACTGAATCAGTGACATGATTAAAGCCACATGAAATCATTTTTAAAGTAAGCTTTATAGAAGATATAATACATATATAGAAGATATAATACAAAATAATAAATGTAATTGCCATAATATGCTGACTGAAAAGTACGTGAAATGAGTTTGGAAGAGGATTAAAATAAGGACGTAATTTAGCGGTAAAAAGAGCTTTTTCAAATTTGCCATTTTCATTTAGGGCATTGGTTCTCAGCCATGGCTGCACATTGGAGTCACCTGGGCAGTTTTAAATACTGATGCCTGACTCTACTTCCAGGGATTCTGGTTTAATTGGTCTGCAAAGCAGACACGGATTGAGAGCTTAAGAAGCTCTCAGGTCATTCTATTGTACAGCTAAGGCTCAAAACCACTGACTCAGGAGATGGCAAAACAAACACCCTCACCCACCCATCCATGTGACCACCGTCCAAACAAACAAAAAGAAAAAAAACTAAATAGGGTGTAAATAAATTCTGCACAATGCATCGTAGCACTATCTTTACTTATGTGTGTCTGCAAAATATTTAATACAAATTACAAAAGAGTACTATTTGGCTTAGGTTTCTCAAGCAAAGTCTTGTTTCTATGCTTATATTTTCACAACAAAAGAGAGTTGTGTGGAGGTGGGCCGTGTAACATCCACTATACTTCGGGCAAATGCAGTCTTAACTGTCACAACCATTTCCTTGTGGGTTTCAATTAGGGGCAAATCTCAAACAAATTGAGATCTCAAAACATTAGATGGATTTTCTAAAGCATTAAGATATGCACTATCTGTAGGGTGGCCAGAGTAGGAGGCTTAGTTAAATTTGCATGTTAGATAATCAAGAAATAAACTTTTAGTATAAGTATGTCTCAAATATTGCATGGGATATAATTACATTAAAAATATTCTTTGTCTCAACTTTAACTGGGTATCTTGTATTTTTCTTTGCTAAATCTGGCAACCTTAACTCTCTGTA